ACTGCCTTACCGGACCCGCGAGCACGACTGGTCCAATGTACTTGTCATTGGAGAACACAAACAGAATCCTGATGAGGATCGATCTGCAAAAACACCATCTGCTCCATAGACGCTCGAAAGCGCTAGCGAAACGGATGCGTCAGCCTCAGACCGAAATATTTTTGATGTTGATGATCTGACCAAAAGGGTCAGAACAGCTCCATGCGTGTCACAGACGACTTGCTATGAATCATCAGTTGTGAGTCTCAAGGGGCAATTTATGAGCTATGGAGCTTACAACAGCTTGGTCCAGTGAGTATTGTTCAAGTCAACAATGTGAACTGTTTCTTTTTCTTCGCAGATTACACTGATAAGGATTGATAGTGATGCTCAATGATATTGATTATCTAACAGTGTGAATGCTGTTGTTGCAAGTAGAAATTCAGGGTTCAGTAAGCAATTGGTAGATAAGAAGGAGAGAGTCTACTTCGTACGAGGTCCTACGATTTGAAGGAGTTCCCGACATCGTGGCGACGAGTCAAGGGATAGGCTTGCAGGAGCAAGACAAGTCCGATATCATCACCCAATACTGAAAAGCCAGTTACATCTTGTCCATTCATCTTCGACATAGAAGGTAAATTCTGGAGTAGGTTGGATCGCCATCCACTGCCTACCATATCTCGTAAGATCATTTCCGAGAAAGTCTCCTAAAGAATGTGTGGCATTTCCTACATCACGTTTGATCGCAGATGTACTGCCATGCCAGTTTTTGTCCACAAGTTAATATCCTACCAGGAATAACGAAATCCTAGACCATACGTTCAAGAACGAGATCAGACTAACTCGATATCATGATCTACCTCATCAGAATCAAGACCCTTATACGCCTCTTCTTCCATTAAGCCGTTAACATATATATCGCCAACTAGTTAATACCTCTCTCTAGCAGGCCGAAGAATAAAGAGTCTGTCTGCCCCTTCGAATACGGCTACTAAATCTCCTTCTTTGGCTTAGTACATAGCACTGCAGACCCGGCCATTCTCGGTAACGGATAGTAAACGGCCATATATCAATTCACGTTTTGACATGTCCTCGTAAGCTCTTCGCTCTTTATAAGTAATAGGTCTGCCCGGGTGGTACGAATCAAGCTCGATTACCTTACTGAGCTATACTACGAGTTCTTGGATCTGAGTATCCCACTGCTTTAATTCTGGAACTACATTAGACAAGTCAAGGTCTATACTATGGTAGTATATTCTAATAATATTGACCTTATATCGGAAATAGGATAAAAAAGCAAAAGCAAAACTCTCCTTAACGGAAAGTTTACCTTATAGAGGCAGAGACTAATTTGGCAGGGCAGTAATAGTACGGGGAAAACGAGCCGTATTCTGAACTATAGTCCCGAGATACTAGAACACTCTGAGGAAGCAGGTCTACCTATAAGAAATATATTAGATTTACGGTAAATCTATGTGTCCGCCAAAGACTAAGTCACTAAGAAATATAACGGAAGTAGTTATTAAAATACGGTTAATAAAGCTGCCTTTAAGAACTAAGATAATAGAGTTAAGAAGAAATCGAGGAGGCCGTCTAAGGCCAGAAGTTCGGGGATATAAAATATATTTATTAGGTATAATACTAAGTAGCAATAGTAAAGAAAATAGCCTAAGCTCCTATAAGGGACTTAATATAATAGTAGTAGGATCTAAGTCCTCGGATTAATCCTCAGAATATGCTTTACTGCCTACCTAGCGGCAAGTATAGGCTAGAATTTACAGAGTTAAATCGATCTATAGTATTCGGACCGAGGTATTATAAAAGACGCACTTTATACTAATAGAGTAATCTGAAGTAATACCCAGCCTTATAATATTACTAGAGATAGCTAATAGACTAAAAACTCGATTGTACGGGTCCCAGTAATACTAAGATTCATACCATAACATATTCAATAATAATGATAGTCTAATACCGAGCCATTTCGCCTCCTTCTACTATTTTCGTATATACCATAAGAAGTAGATAGAGCCCTTAATTTAATATAAGTTTTTAATTAAGTTCCCGGTATTTTCTTGCCAGAAACTAGTAAAATAATTAGCTACTTTTTCGGGGATTAGATCTAGATTAGAAAGTACGGGAATTATTACAATAGTATCCCAGGATAATAATAATAAACCGCAAAGCATTACGATTTCTTCGTTAAGTAGCTATTCTTAAATAATCCATAATTAGTATAACCATTCGCTATATACTACTTGGAATAATAATCTCTATTCCTATACCATATATTTTCCCTCGTTAAAGTAGCCCTCTTGGAATTCTTCTGGTAAGATCATTACAGGAAACTCTGCTTTTTTCGGATATATTTAGTATAGATAGCCGGCCTAATAAATCAGATTATAGTCGTCGGTGAAGTGTTCGTATTAGCGATATAATAAGTTAATCCCGTACTTTTCCTTCTCCTTATCTAAGGTAGCAGGCCCCAAATAAGTTATTACCCGGGCTATATTTCGATATATGTCTCCTATTAGTACTACCTGGTGGTTCTTCTCCTCTCCTTCTTAGTTAATACAGATCTGGTCAATCCAGAAAATCTTGCTCATTATCTCCCCTGCTTCCCAGAGATTATACAGGGCAGCTTGAATATTCTTTATAAGAGGGGTATATCCAAGTGCGTATCCGTTTTCGTCGAGGACAATAGTATTAGAATATTGTTCTGGATTTCCCTATATATAAGAGAGCGCTTGATATCCGCCTTTAGAGACACTAATTTGCTAGAGAGTATATTTGATTCTTGCCTTCGTACCATGCAGTTTTAGGGTACGTATCTTGTCTGGTCCCTCAAGCGTCTCGTAAACATATCATAAAAGCTGTTTTAGAAGAGGCTTGGGATTCTGTAATCCTTGGTCATTATCGACCGTTCCTACCGGTCCGGTTGTAGTTCCTTTTCCCTTGTCTGCGTCATATAGTAATACTTCTAAGCCATCTCCAAGTTTCGAGCGGCAATGATTCTTTGGGTTGCGACGAGGCATCATTGTCTTGTACAGGGCGTCGATAATGAGCAGTGTGTCAAAAAAGTAATTAAGGTATTCCGAATATTCATGAATATTCATGATTAGCTTGAATAGAATATAATTACCGCAATGCTTAAATAATTTAATTAGATTAGAATATATAATCATGAATATTCATAATACTTTGATTACTCTGCACGTGACTATAGCACGTAATACTCTAGCCTAATTAAGTAGAGATCTCGCTCTAGTGTCTCCTTAGCGCCACCTCGCTGCCTAATTAGTGGGTTAAAAGCCTTCCAAAGACGATGCTAGATCGGGAGCCATACCTAATTAGGTTAGTATATCACGTGAGATAGTCACGTGTATAGTAATCAAAGTATTCATGAATATTCATGATTACCTCAATTAGAATCTGATTAGAATATAATTAGTGGGTATTTTTGATAAATAAATTAGATTACTAGCCAGTATTCTAATCTAATCTATTCATTTGACACACTGATAATGAGGAAGATAGGTGTCTAAGCTGGGAATAATCGAGACAACGGCTCATGGTACGACCGAAGAGAGATAACACGGCGCTCAAAACCGATTAGGCTGCACAGATGAGTGCGAAGCAAGCCTAACGCGGCTCAAGCAACTTGAGCGTTAGGCTACTGCTCAAGAGTGAAAGGTATGACACGGAGATAGCGCTATTGAGAGTTCTCTGCAGCGGTCGATCCAAACTCGGCGGTCTGAACGAAGAATGATTGAAGTCCGCGAGGCTGAAAGCACTGCTGTGTCCGCAAGTTGTTCCGGTCAGGATTTGCAGGTCGGAGCTTCGATGGAAGACCCAACGCAGCTTGCTTCCTTTCCTCGTCAGCATCGCATTCCGGCGGAAAATTGATCTTGTTCATGCATGATCGCCACGCGGATCTGTACCCCAGATCAAAGCGAGATGATTTTGGTTGGTGCGAAACCAACCCCGCACGCCCCACAATATTTACGCTGTAATTTCAATTATGTAATCATTCGCACAGGATGCACCAGGTGCGGTGGGGCTGGTGTGTGTGGCTGACCCGTCAGCGAGCGAACACCAGATCAGCGCCGGCTTCTCACCAACAATCGAAAGAATTATTTACCCAATCGGTCGTGGGGGTGGAGAGATAAACTGCCAGCACTGAATGCCGATGGGAAGCGCTGTTTGATAGATCAATGTTTGAAGACAAAATGAGGACTTAGCCGGAGCCTTTTGTAGTGTGACACGTTGCGCGGCATTATCATGCTGCATCTCTTCAAACTGGCGAAATGTCAAGAAGAGCAGATTGTAACCCTGCCGTTTATGACCTCTTCCGCAACACGCGCCACTTCTGGCTCTGAGTCTGCCTCTGACTCTAGCTCTAGTTCTTGCTCATCTGGCTCTGGCTCATCTGCCTCTAGTGCAGCACTCTTACGCTTCCGACCACGGTTTCCCTTGCCCTTGATGACCTCCTTCGCAGCACGCGCTGCTCGTGCCACCTCGATGTCCTCAAAGCTCATCACCTTCGCCTTCCCTAGGACGATTGACCTGGTTGATCGACGAACCTTAGCTTCGTTGTTCATTCTGGTCAACATCGGCTTCCGCCTTGAACTCTTCTGAAAATTTCTGGTCAGCCACTTTGTCAAGACGCTACGAGTAGAGTCTACGCTAGAATGATTCTGGCTAGCTGCCTCTGTCCCTACAGCTACTCTAATTAGATTACTACATTCCGGCCAATATTTTAATACATCTACACACGTACGGAGATATAACCGGAATAACAGGAACTCATATCTTCACAATCGGCTTCAGCATGGCTGTGACAGATCCGCAAAGCGCCGAGGGATACAGTATATTTTTTTTGGTTCTTTTTTTCGCTATCCTGCAGCTGGGACGACGTGTCCCTCGCGGCCCCATTCCTTTACGTACCTACGCAGGCCGCTTTATCTTTTTACACACTTCAACCTGACCAAGGGCGTACTATTTAAGAAGAAATAATGAACGGTTAATCATTTATAAAGTAGACAAGCCTAACACAGAATTATCCCTCCAAACCATATGCTGTGCCAGATTCCCAGTATATAGTCATTCAAAAAACACGAATGTTAGCCTGTTATCGTGATATGTAGCCTTTCTGAACCATTCCAATCCCTACTCTTTTATACTCGTTTTTGTTTCCCCCTCTCGGTCTTACAATCAACGTGTGATACTCCGACAGACCCTCCGAACCCGTCCTCCCCACAACAACACCTCGTTCGGAGAGAAAGTCTGCCTTCCCCTCGACGTTATACATAATCCATCCCCTTTTCGTTTCATACGAATCCAATATATCGCGACGTACCGCCTCCGACTCTGCCTTTTCCATCTCTTTCAAATGGCAATCCTGAAACTCCCATACATTAGTGACTAAGGCTTGCTTGTCCTTTTCGTCGAAATTAAGGTTCTTAAACAAGTCCAACTTACCAAAATCGACGTTTACAAACTTGATGCCTCCAGTGTATGCCATCCAGGACCATGATGGCACATCGCGAGATTTGTACTCAATCCGCTCCATTATACTCTGCGGGTCAGACCGTTGCCAAAGAAGATTTCTGTAGAGGTATAAACCAAAGATACCGTAATTTTCTTCACAATACAGAGCTCTTGCGATACGAGCTGCTAGCCCAGATAACGCAATAGCTCTATCGGTACATTCAGAGAGGTTACGCTCTGAGTAACCCTTTAAAAGATCCTGAAGGAAAAGTAGAGTAGCCCCGAATCCTGACCCAAAAAGTAATCTCGGAAATTCTGGATCGAGTTTGAAATGCTTCACGCTACGTGGTAGGCTAATGGGGGAAACATGAATTAGAATGTATCATGTCCAAAGATATGCATACAGTACTTACCACTTCAACTGAGTCAGATCTTCGCAGTATACCCCTTTACCACATTCCCAATACATTTGATTTTTGCCGAAATGGATAGTTCGGCGAGACAAGAACCTTTCTTGCATGACCCATGCGCGAGTATTGAGCCGAGCGTTCTCCACCTCGTTATCGAAATCAGCTATGTCAGTGCCGATATAGACTCGCCGGCCTGAGTCATCCTGAACATAAACATGCTCGCCAATATTCCGCCCAAGGAATCCCGCATGCGAATCATCAGCCGATGTTGCAGCGATTGTGTAGTAAGCCAAAGTATAGACGTCTTCCATCATCTTGGATTCTTCTTCCCAATCTCCCCCGTTTCCTTGGATAATACAGAGCGAGTCAATCCAAAGATACTTTACGTCAAGGCGTCGAACCACCTCGATGGCGTCTCGAAAAGTCAGTGGCAGATCAGTGATCTTGAATCCTTCTTGACGCTTGCTAATACTCTCCGGGGTTGTACAATATGGCGGCACCTTATCGTCCTTAGGCTCGCCAGTATTCTTCAGGGCTGTGCAATGTAGCGGCACCTCATTGTCCTTAGGGTCACCCCAACAATGGGACAAAGCAACATATTTCTCACCGCCGATTTCCTCACTTGGAACGAGCTTCAGGACGTCCGGGTTATAATCTGGATCATCCGGATCACCGACGTAGAGAAACCTTGTCGTAATTTTCCGTCATAGTGCTTTTTGCAATTATCATGAGACTTGTCACACCATTGAAGCCATTCGCGAAGTAGTGCAAAACGCAAAGGACTTCCCGCTGCGGGCAATACTGGGAAGCTGATCTGGGTTTGGTTGTTAGGCCCTTTTGCTGACCCTGAGAAAGAACATTTAGCAAGCTGTGTCTCACAAAATGTGTGTGAATCGAAGATCTCGGGTTGGCGCGGCGGGTCTTTTGCGGGTGCAGAATTGCAGATGACTAATTGGCCACAAGCCTGCCAGCCACAAATCGGCCAGCCACAAGATCTGCCAGCCAAACCTGTCGGCGACATACCTGTTGGCAGCAAACCTGTCGGCCACAAACTTGATCAGAAGGCAGACCTTCAGTTTCCTCGATTCCTATCTTTTACAGTAATATCTTCTCTTATAGACTAATCATACAATAGCATACTGTAGAGGAAGTCTTCCATCTTTCAGAATTAATTGTTCACATCTAGGATTTCTCGCAGTGAAGGAATCACCACATTTCTTCTAGTCCATCTTCCCATATATATCCCCCCAGATTGATGTCCCCAGATTAACTTCCCCAGATTAGAATCCCCAAATGTATCTGCTTAATAATCTGCCCACATTGATTTCCCCTGATTAACCTCCCCTGATTAACCTCCCAGATTGACCTCCCCTTCATCTCCCCAAAATAAATTATCAAATGCATCTGCCCAAGAATCCTCCCCAGATTGACACCCAGATTAGTCTCCCCCAAGTACATCTCCGCATCTGCCCAGATTAGTCTCCACAGCTTGACCTCCCCGGATTAGTCTGCCTCTATATACACCTCACTTCTAATGCATGTCGTTGCCCCCACTATCGCCAAAAGTGACAAAGACACGGACAAGCTCAGGATAGATAGCCTGAACCGTCTCGGCTAGTGCATGCAAGCTGGGAAGCTTTTTTGAATTGTTGAAGCTTTACAGCTATGAGCGAAATCGGTGTCCTACTCGTCGCAGACTTAAAGCGGTAATTAAGCGCACGGGCCAGCGAAACGCAGTACGGATTAAGTTTTATCCGCACATGATACTTCAGGGGACCCGACACAAACCATTGCTTGAATCAGGCAGTAAGGCAGAAATGAAAAGGCGACGCAGCCTCTATTTATTGTGCCACAAGCGATTATCCCAGCTCTCAGCAGGCACCCTTTTCCACGATGCTACGATGATTTCCAGCTGAGGTACTTCTCCCCAGAGAAAAGCACACATCCAAACTGTACTCTGTTAGCTGACTTTCTCCAGCTTCCCCGCCATATGCTCCTGTCCCTCCTTCCCAAGCTTGCTTGACAGCGCGATGTATCCTGCCCGAACGAATAGTCCTCCACGCCCACCAACAAGAAGACATTACTTAGGCCTAGTGAAACCAGGTGTAAATTTGCCGCCGGCGCAAATACAGTTTGAAGAGGCGAATCCAATTCCCGTCGCCAAAGCACCAACATCGCTTTCAGCGTCAAACGAAGAATTACCTACAAAGGGGTCTTTGACGCAGCTCCTCTGTTCCCGATGTCAGACGATTCAGAAGAGGATGGATGACACAGCTCGGCGTCGCCATTATATGTGGACCGAGGTGTTCTCTTGGTCTTCGCTGCGACAATCGCGTTGTGACGTGTGTCGAGTCATATATCAAGGGCTGAATGAGTTGATTGCGGGTTACATTCCAGACGATTCTCAGTACTACGTCTGCTTCGGCCGGCGTTTCACGGTTCACTTATATCATATTCCACAAGATGCATACCCGCCTTCATGGGAAATATCCAGCAGCATCAAATTCTTCTGCAATCCTGGTGAGATTAAATTCATCCTTAAGATGCCGATATGTCTGATGGTGATCCCATAGCTGTTCCATGTCCTTGGGGAATTTTTTCTTCCTCACTAGTTCCCGACCCCAGAACTGCTAGGCTTGGATCCTTCGCTCTAGCATCCTCTTGGATTAAAAAGTGTGGATTAAGCCATTCTTGTGTAGTTCCACGTGACTCCCAACTACCAAGTCGTGTTCTTGATATTGGTACGAAATCCGACCGAATCCGCCTTTTCAAGACCAATGGACTGGTCGGCAGGTACACCTGCTTGAGCCACTGCTGGGGTGGTAAACAAATATTGAGGACAACCAAGGACAATATAAAGAGTCATCTCGTATCAATACCGTGGAACGACATTCCCAGGACGTTCCAAGATGCCATCATATTTGTCTGGCAGCTCGGTGTCCAATATCTCTGGATTGATTCTCTTTGCATCATCCAGGATAATATTGATGATTGGGTACGAGAGTCGGCGGCCATGTGCGACATATACGAGAATTCCTGGCTGACCATTGCGGCAACATCAGCGTCAGATGCACAGACAGGCCTCTATCTGAGAGACGGGAATGAGTTCTTCGATGTCTGCAATACCACGTCTACTGGCGCTGAATATCGAGTTCTGGCTTGCAGAAGTTATCCACACCCAGAGCACACCAAACGGTGGTTTCGAAATGACCGTTGGCCTCTACTGGAAAGAGGGTGGGTCTTCCAAGAACGTCTGATATCTCCAAGAGTCCTGCATATTTGCCGATCTGAAATGATTTGGGAGTGCAAAGAAGAGATGGTATGCGAATGCGGCGAAAGTCGACCGATGGGAAAAGAGGAATATTATCAATCACTAAAGCAGCCTTCTTTAACGAAACTACTCAAGCAGTGGCAAAACTTAGTTGAAGCGTACTCCTGGCTCAAGCTATCGTTTGAGTCGGATAAGCTGCCCGCCCTCTCTGGGTTAGCTAATCAAATGGCTAGACTTAGACCTGACGCCAAATACCTAGCGGGCTTGTGGAGTGACTCTTTGGAGCTGGATTTATTATGGATAAATGCTCGTATCGGGTCCGAATACGGAAAACTGGACAGCAGATCTTCTTTGTGGCGAGCGCCGTCATGGTCATGGGCAGCTTTAAATGCACCGATTATCTTTCCTCTGAGCAACACTCACTACTCTCAACATGATATAAACCGAGGCGAAATGGTCGAGTCTTACTTCGCCATATTGGATGCGCAAACCTGCCTGGCCACAAGTGATCCCACGGGCCAAGTTAAGAGTGCTCGACTCACAATATGTGGCTCGCTATTCGACGCAACCCTCTGGATTGACAAACAATTCAGTAACCCCGAAATGTTTCTGCTTTCTATCGATTCAGTAGGGAAGAAAGTTCTACAGCGCCACAATGTTCCGGACCGAGTGCTCTTCGATGACCCTTATGACCCATTACACCTCGGCAGTGAAACAAACTGCTCCGGGGAAGGGATATCCTGTATGCGCATGGCGCGTGTAAGACACAGACATTACTTTCCGTACCAAGAAGTGGTAGAGTTTGAGTATGCCCTTGCTATGTACCGCAAAAGTGAGTCGACTGACTACAAGCGTGTTGGAATGGTTGTCCAGGAGCGGGCTTCGGAGTTGGCTGAGGATTTGATTAACCCTTCCGGGATGTGGCAAAACTGGCCAAGCTACTTTGCCGCCGGTGGACTGCAACGTACAATTGCCATTGTGTAGGGTGTTTCTGAACAGGATATTTCTCTTTGTGCTGCATCTTATACAGTATCTAGACAAACCCTAATTGGATCCTGTACTGCATTAATATCTCTATCTGATATTCACAAGTCAAACCTCAGCATGAGACCCTCACACATAGCAGGTAATGCTTACGTATCACAAAATTAGAACGCAAAGACCGTATAAGAAGAGTTCCCAAAGCTACTGTAGAACGCTGCTACAAAAACGCGAAAAAGAATTCTGAGTCAGGTGCACTGACTAATTGAGATGATGTCCTAGTGGCTGATCACTGCAATTTTGCCACAGTACCACGCTCTGACTGTCCTCCCAAATGGGCCAGGATATGAAAGTACCTTTCAATACCGTGGTCCATGTTCAAACCGACTTCTTGCACAGCTGTAAGATAGTAAGGTAGATTCTTCAATCATACATTCCTGTTGTCTCTTGCCCTTTGGTTGATAAATAGATGCTAAGGCAGATGTTTCTATTATGTCGTAGAATGGCAAGGAGGCGTTCTATTCTACTTTACTGCTTGATGTTAGTAGCTGGCAATTGTGATGGGTATTTCAAGGTATCAGCAAGTAACATATACGGATAAATATTAATCCGCACCGACTTTAGCTGGTTCGTGCGTTTAAATTATGCGTTGAGTGTTTAAAGAGCAGGACACCAGTTTCGCTCATAGCTATACCACGTATTTAGTATCGAAGAAATTGTAGAGGCGGGGAGTACGTACACTATTGTCTCAGCTGATCTTGAATACACGGATAATAGGAAAGGTGACGGGCCTGCAAGTGCAGACCAACGCTCACCTCTACGTACGTACTCGGTCAGTTAATCACTTGAGATATCCGATAAATTATTTTTCGCATTGAGGTATGCATTAGTGTAAGCAACTTCCCCTATAGTATCGAGGGCGAAAAGTGCAAATCGCTTAATTCGATTCGCACTTTTATCGCACCTCCCGAAACTCACATACAAGCCATTAACTATCCGTTATCCGCCGCACCGACCATAAACAGATAATAATTCAAAAGAAGAAATCCACCTTTAATTCTAATAATGTGCTTGAGCTTAATTTTATACCCTATAATCTAGATAGAAATCACGTAATAGAAGCTTTAAAATCAAATATATTAATATTATTTTCCTCAAACTCGTCTCTATTAAAGTTATAAAAATATATATAATATATATTAACTAATCTATTATATTAATGGCTTTAGAAAACCATCAAAATCACGTGTTCAAATACTTTATATATTACTAGGCTCTCTCCCGGTTTCTTTCTTTTATTAATATATAATACGGATCGAGATAGTGAGCTTTTATTATAAAACACTTTTCGCAAATATCGAAATCCCCACTATTATAAACTCAATAATAATAATAAGTATCTTTATCCGAGATACCTAAAATACAAACGTCGCAAAATTTAATCTGCTTATTATTAGGAACCAAATTCAGTATAGGAGGTAACTCGTCTTCTTAAATAATTATGCCTTTTTCTTTATACTTTTAAAGGACAAGGTCGGCGATTTCGGGATACCTAGTCCTTCTTGCCCACTATAAAAGAGTCCGACCGAAATTATCTGGGATATTTAAGGCATTACTTTGGAATAAGAGAAGCGCTAGCTTTTCTTTATATCCTGTTCTTGCTATAATAAATAATAGTATCGAGTTATAATAGTTTACTAAATTAATATTAACTCGGTTTATACTAAGTAAGAGTTTAATATTAGTATTATTTCCACTCTTAGTAGCATATAATAGCGGCGTCCGACTAGTATTATACTTCGAGTCCACGTTAACCTTCTCTATTACGAGCAGAAGCTTAATAATACCGCCGTACTCGTTCCTAGTAACGTATAATAGCGGTATCCGACCACGACTATCCTTCGATTTCACGTTAACCTTCTCTGTGGCGAGTAATAGCTTAATAATACCTTCGTGCCCGTTTATAGCAGCCCATAATAGCGCCATCTGACCATATTCATTATCCTTTGAGTCGGCATTAACCTTTTCTCTCGCGAGCAGTAGCTAGACAATACCCTCGTGCCCGTTCCCAGCAGCCTATAATAGCGGCGTCTGACTATATTCATTATCCTTCAAGTCAGCATTAACCTTCTCTATCACGAGCAGTAGCTAAATAATGCCCTCGTACCCGTTTATAGCAGCGGCCCACAGCGGCATCCAGCTATTATAATTCTTCGAGTCGGCATTAACCTTCTCTATCGCGAGTAGTAGCTAAATAACGCCCTCGTGCCCGTTCGCAGCAGCGGCCCACAGTGGCGTCCAGCCGTTATAACTCTTTGAGTCAGCATTAACCTTCTCTATCGCGAGCAGCAGCTAAATAATACCCTCGTGCCCGTTTATAGCAGCCCACAATAGCGGCATCTGGCCACGTGTGTCCTTCGAGTCAGTATTAACCTTCTCTATATTAAGTAATAGCTAGACAATGGCCTTAACCCCAAAGTATACTACTAAATACAGTTCTATTATATCCTTTGAGAATCTTTAGCTATACTCCGTGTCTAATAAGTACCTCTTCTTAGCTAGTAACCCTTAATTTAATACCCCTACTTGGGCTTTTCTCTCGAGAAAGCTAATAACTTCTGGGATTAATATAGAAGCCTCCCGAGTATAATATCCCCAGTTATGTGCTACGTAGTCATATAGCTTATTAAATTAAAGGCATTATTCAAATTCCTTGTTATTTTCGCAAATTCCACTTTTAAAGTTATTAAATAAGAGATAGGTAATACAGACTATTATAATATTAGTTTCTATATTAGGGAACTAATATTTCTATATTCGCTTAAAGTATTCTTGTATTATATAGTATACTAAGCGAATAATATTACTTTCTTTATTAACTATAACTAATCTAGCATATACTGAGACCATGTCTTCTACTTAATATAGATTCTCTTTATTAAGTTGCGGCTCTTTAGGCTCTATAGTAAGGGCATACTTAAGTTCAGACGTAATTAGCGGCCTCTTTATACAGGTAATTCATAAGAGGACCTGCTTCGCAAGCTTTTCTTTATCTAAAAGTTAGCCTTTGATTCTCTTTATAATATCCTTATACGCGTAGTTATATACTTCGAATCCAGAAGAGAGCTTTTTTAAAGCGGTACGGATAGCCTTTAGGGATTTTTTCCCTTTTAATAAATCAAGATAAAGCTATATAAGTAAGAACCTAACGGGTATAAGCGCTAGTTACTAAGATTATGGATTATACACATCCTATTAATTACCTTAATAATACTAATCTTGATTTTGTCTTATAAATCCGAACTATAAAGCACACATCCGGGCAGCTATAATATATAACTATCTAAGTACCGCCATATATCTTAATTACTTGCCCGGATCTCTAACCGCAAGCCTTTATTAAACTCTTTAGTAATTTCCGGAATAAACCTCGAGATTATAAAGAGATTTGCGCTAGTCTTAGTTTAGAGGCCAAATATCTCTAATAGGAACCTCTTATAATAGCTATAAGATACTTAATACTTATTAAACGTATTAATAATAATAAAGACTCGAGAAAATAAGATAGTTATGGCCTAGAGAGATCCAGAAATTGTATTAAAAAATAGCCATGTCCGTTTAGTCTTATATTAGTTATAAAGCTTTTTTATAATACCTAGTAAAGATAGCTGGCTCTTAGCTAGTTATTTTAGTAAGCTTGTAAGCAAGTCATTAATTTTCTGCTTGTCTTAATACCGGAAGTTATAGTAGATATATATAATTCTAATAGTCGGGTTATTAGAAAACCGTATAGTGAGCTCTTCTACTATAATTAATGTGAGAATTATCTTCCTAGCGCCAGGAATTCCTAGATAGAATAATTTCTATTTATCTATTTCTCGCCAGGATTAGTACTCTGTAAAGTCAAGAAGCCACTAGCTAGTTTCTTCTTATTACTAAGTAATAAAGTCATTTTACTAAGAAGCATAATTAATTAAGGTAAGCTAGTCAAGGATAGCTTAATGCCCTTAATCTTCTTGGTACTATATTAACTTAATCACGTTATCTCGCGTAAGTCATTTATTAAATACAGTTAGGAAGCTAATATTAGTACTAATATAACTCCGTAGCTTCTCGATATCTTCTGGCTTCTAGTTAAGCCTTTTTTATACCCTTATAATTCTCTTACTAATACTCCCACTTTCAGAACCAAGCTCGCTATTTTTATCTAGTATTTATTATAGCTTGTCGAGAATATTTCGGTAACCTTTATTAATATCTTCCAAGTCTCTCTCCTAGTTATTATTAAGCTCTCGATTTAGAAAGGTAATATCGGTATCCTAAAGAATAATTAAGAGAGTTCTAATCCTATTTAAATATAACTATTAGTAGTAATTAAACTATTACTTAAATCACGTACTTATCTATAATAGCCTTAAATTAACTTGAAGTATCCACGAACTCTTTCCGGATCTTATTAGCTAGCTAGATTACCGCGAGAAAATCACTAATACTAAAGCTAAAGCTTATTATAATATTAAGTATAGCTCTATTATACAGGCGGGATAGTGAGTTGAGAGAAAGTAAAGAATAAGAGAAGATTACTTTACTAGTATTATAAATATATAGTTATCTGTACTTAGCCCCACAATACTAAATCCACTACTTCTTGGGGCTAGACTTATTAGCCACATTAGGCGGGGCTAACTTTAGTTAGTACTATAGGCTAAGGTGCCATCACGTGTAATTATCTATAGGATTATAGTAATAACTAGCCTAATATTCGCACTAAAACCTGCCTATTCTGCATACTCGGGAATAATTTTAATTAAAGTTAGAAAAGGCCGATTTTTTTAATATTATTATATGCTAGTATACGGGTCTTATACGGTCACGTAATATCCATTCCGCCACGCCAAAAAAAACAGGAATACTAAAAAAACAGATAGGTACTTTAACTTAAAGTATCTTAAAATCTATATATACCTTAATATTTCTTATAATTTTTATAAGTTATATTCTATAGTTACTCTCGGACTTCGTAAACTCTAATTATATTCACATTATGGCCCTTATACCTAATTTATAAAGGGTCTCCGTTTATAGTATAATAGACTTCCTTTACTATAGCTTTACTACCAAGCCTATCCTACCCCTAAGACTTTATAAAGAAATCTTACCCAAAGCTTTAAGCCTTACCCCTATATAAAATATCGTAATTAGCCCTATAACTACTATACGAAAAGTATAATAGCGGGCAAACTCACGTAAGGTTACTATGCAGATTAGTATCTCGGCTAGCAATTTTGGCTTAGTACGAAACAGCCCTGTATATACCATAATATTTATATAGTAATTTCATTTATAAAGCCTTAGACTTTTAAGGCCAAAAAAAGGTATTCTAATACCTAATACCTAATGTGCTATATCCGGCTTAGTAATGACTCTAATACCTGGCGTAATTAGTTAGATACGAAAATCGCAAACAAAATCATAAACATACTATAAGAGACCCTATATCCTAAAGTCAAGTTCAAAATTAACCTTACTATCTCGTATCTGCCAAAGTCTCATATTACCTACTACCCTTAAGCTAGATTACCGGAAACCTATTATATACAAGTCGGTACTTAAGAAAGATATAGATTAGGCTTGGCAAAAATACCTATAATATTAATACTAGTATTAATAATATTAGGTATTTTTCAGGTATTATAGGTATTAATACGTATTAATACCTTATTAATTCTTATCCCTAAAAATTATCTCTTTATTTTATTATTTTATTTATATAAGAATATATTTATATATAATTCCTTTTATTTCTAGTCTTTCTATTAAAAAATTTATTTACTACTTTTAATAAAATTTAATAATATCTTAAATTTAAAATACCTCTCATATTTGGAGAATTAAGCCCCGTATTCGTATTTCTTATTAAGGTACTAAATATATAAGCGAGCCTTACGAAAATCTCAAAAGCTCATTTTTACTTAAAATAGCCATATTAAGATTAGTTTTAGCCTAAAATATAAGGTAAGTAGCTAGATAAAAAGCCTAAATTAAGGAAAATATTTATACTACCAAAAGTTTTCTTATAAGAGAAATAGTTCTAAAGTTAATTATAATTAAAGAAGAAAATTAGATTTAGGGAATTAATACTATTATTAATACTATTAATACCTTATGACTCTGGTATTAATACGTATTAATACCGGAAATTTAGGTATTTTTGCTAAGCCTAGTACAGATATTATTAGCTAAGCAATATACCTTGAGGCAGCGACGGAGCTCTATTAGTTAACTCTGGGACTAGAGATAAACTATTCAAGTTCTTATTAAGTACTAAGGCTTATTTATTAAAATACCTATCTTATTTATATAAAGAATTAATAAATTCGTGGCAAATCTATTAAATACTATACTTTCTAGAAAATAATAAAAAATAAGTAATAATTCTAAATAGAATATAAGTAAATTGTTCCCTAGAACCTTTTAAGGAATAAGGATTTTTTAAATTCTATATAATAAGCTTTACTTCTTTTTTAAAGCAAAAGAATAAAATTCTCCCAGATAAATGCCCTAAAACAAGAGTTCTATTCCAAATAGCTAAATAAGTTTCCTAATAATCGGGAGGTAGCCAAATAATATTCGTATCGTCTTCCACTACCCAATAATTTATTACTTATATAATTAGTAATAGCTTACTATCGGGTGAGAAGGCTACTAAACTGACCGAGCCAGTGAGGCCCTCGAGCATCTATAGCGCTGCTCCCGTGGCCGCGTCCCAGAGCCGCACCGTCAGATCATATGATTCAGATATATGCCCTAATCCAGACACCACCTGCTTGCCGTTGGGTGAGAAGGCCACTGAGTTGACCAAGTCAGTATGGCCCTCGAGCGTCTGCAGTACTGCTCCCGTGGCCACGTCCCAGAGCCGCACCGTCTCATCCCCTGATCCAGACACTGCCTGCTTGCCGTCTGGTGAGAAGGCTACTGAACTAACCCAGCTAGTGTGGCCCTCGAGCGCCTGTAGCGCTGCTCCCGTGGCCGCGTCCCAGAGCCACACCGTTTTATCGTCTGATCCAGACACGACCTGCTTGCCGTCGGGTGAGAAGGCTATTGAATGGACAAAGTCAGTATGGCCCTCGAGCGTTTGCAGCGCTGCTCTTATAGCCGCATCCCAGAGCCGCACCGTCTCATCCCCTGATCCAGACACCACCTGCTTGCCGTCGGCTGAGAAGGCTACTGAATGGACAAAGTTAGTATGGCCCTCGAGCGTCTGTAGCGCTTGTAGATCATTAGTTCTTTCTTGCAGGTGGGGCGGGATCTCCATTGTGGCTTGGAGGCGCGATTGTTTGATGATAAAGGTGGAGGACGGGGGGGAGGTGTCAGATTTATGGGTCGTGGGGGACCTGCGAACTCTACTTTTCGCAGGGGCTTGCGGACTCGACTTTTTCGCATGTGGGTGGCTTGCCGGATTTATTTATGGAACATAAAATACACGTGATATCGGGCCGGGATAACTTAGACCCGGGTTTCGGTCTCGAACTTTCCGGTAAGCTTTTCGAAGCCCCTTCTTCTCTTAGCAAGCTAAGAGTACGAAGGCATACTGTAATATCTTTTCTGGATTCCAAGTACTATATCACGTCGATAGTTCATAAAGGTTCTATGACTCGACTAACTCCGATGCTTGACCCGCTAGCGACGGTCTAGATCTTCGCCATATTGCTCACGTTATTCGCGCTGGCCGGCAGAGCCCGAATTCGCGTTCCAAGACCCTAAGCGATCGCATTAGTGATCTCTTGTCCCAGATATCATAAAACCGCATTCTTTTGCGACTAGTACGTAAGTCAGGGGTTGAATTTATTAGGGGAAGGAGTACGGAGACAATTAGAGAGTGTTTTGACTCTTATATTATATGCTAAAGTGGTTGTTTTCGGCCCTGGATCTGCTAGATTCACTATAGTGTGCTTATTATGGAGCTAACGAAGGTCACAGTATTCCCCGAATTAACCATCACATCACATTACATCACTATTACCATTACCATTACCATGGCTATGGCCTCTGTCTTGAGGGCGTTTTCGAGACCCTTCCACTAGAGGTCTACATATTTTCCCAAGCCTTGCTCATTTTATTGACTCCTCTTAACCGATTAATCTAAATCTCTTTTAACTTGCCAGCAAATTCATGATATTCGATCTCGCCCGCTAACGTCGCTCTCTTGGGTATAGCTTTACACTAAGTGTCCTACCTCATTCGGCGTCAGAACCCCCGATAGGTACTGCGAAATAATCTCCCAAGACTCGACTTTTCGCGCTAAGGCACATTAAACGCGGGCGACGAGGTAGGTGCGGACTCTCAGAGCACTAACCGTGGGTTAATGGAGTTAGTAATGGCGTGCTTGCTTACAGGTAAAGCGTCGGAATTAATATCTGCAAGGGCTCGTTTATGAAGCCTCTGAGGCTTTAGATAGAGTACCTTAGTATTCATAGCCTTCAAACACGGACGTGGATAAACAAGATATATGTGAAGGACGAGGAAGAAGAGAAATAGCATTAAGTGCACGGCAAGTAATAGACCTTGAATCTGGAAGACTAATAGCAAGATGCTTATTACAGGTAAGGCTTATTACCCTGCTTATTAGGGAGTTCTAACAGATATCAGAAATACCTGGGTCTGAGGAAATCCGAGACGAGTTACGAATTCTTATACGTGATTACCTAGACGGCGAAGTAAGCTTATTAGAGTTGGATTATTAGCCTCTAAAGAAATAAGACGGCATCCTGCCTTAGATAACTCCTGTTTAGTTAAGAGGCAAGAAATAGATTAGTAAATATAGTATTATTAATAAAATCTCGTAGAGTTTCCCAAGCAAATCTCTTCTCTAGAACATAGACTTTACCTGCTTGTACCATACTCCCTTCTAGTAGAACTCGAGTCCGGTTATTTACCTCATTACGTGACTCTTTAGAGCGGCAGGCTCTTAAGTACGGCCTCCGAAGAGCCCCGCTCTCTTTAGATCTGTCTCTAGAGAGCCGTTGTCTCTAAAGAGCCACGGTCGCTTTAGTACGGTTGCTACAGAGCTACCTACTCTTTAGTATAATTACTCCAGAGCTATAGCCTCTATAGAACCATAATATCTTTAGTATAATCTCTATAGACTTTTTGTCTCTGGAGAGCTATATAATACCATATCGAAAAGAGCTATAAAATACAGATATTCGCTCCTATTTTGCTCCTCTAATTTTAATACGGTTTCTCTAAGTTTTTTCTAAAAACTAAATTACTAAGCGAGGTATAAACATACCCTAGTTTGGATTTAAAGTAGACTTTAATAATAGCGTTCTCAAAGGTTAGTATTCTTAGGATTAAATCTTTATAATATTAATAAGGATATCTCTATAGTAATAGAAATTTATTCTTAATTTGGACGGAACTATTAAGTGCCTTGCTTTTCTACTATCTAATAATTACTATAAACCATATTACCTCAATCTCCCTTATTACTCGTAATTATTACTACCAGAGAGCCGCCCCTCGACTATCTACCCTAAGCTCTCTATATTACAAAATCCCGGTCCCTAATTCCTCTAATTATTCCCATTTACCTTTCCCTAGAACTCGACTATCTTCCCAAATATTATTCCACCTACCATATTCCCTATCCGTACCATTCCCATAGCGGCATACCTATTACTACCGACCTACTAAAACCACTACTTTTTACCCCTTCTCCCCGGTGCATCCGTACCTACCACTCTCTTCTATAGGCGGAATAAACCTAGATAATATTCCTCTTTACCCCCGCTCTAGTATACCTCACGCTATATCCAGGAGCAATAAGCCCTCGGGAACCCCTTAAATACCTATAGCCTTAATAGCAGGTATGTCTATAGTAGCTTAAAGCATGCCAGCTTATGTAATAGTAGTAGTAATATTACTAGAGTATTAATGTAGTCTAGTAGCTCGAATAGAATAGCGAAGCCTATGTGAGGGCGGCTAGCTAGTATAATATTATGGGTAGCGGGGAATCGGCTATCCTGCTATGGCGGGAGGTATAGTACGATAAGGTTATCCTGTGGGATCTAGTCGAGAAGTACGAGGTTCCGCTACGAATATATACTCGTATTACTATAGTCAGTTTCGCTAGATACTATTATACTAGTGAGAGTAAAGTACTCGGGACTCGGCCTCTAGTAATATAAGGCGACGACGGTACGGGCTTCCCTGTATATACCTATTAGTAATAGTATATAGAGGTATCCTGACTCGTGATCTCGCAACGTATATAGCCGGAACTCCTTATTTAACTAAAGGTGCTAGTGGTATTGCGTTAGCAGGTAATTAATAAGATTAAAGAAGTAGATAGTAGGACGAGAAAAGAGGCAGTTCTTCCAGATTCTAAAGCGGATTTCGTTAGGCAGATACTAGAATAGGCAGAACGTGGGTATAGTTAAAGTATTAATGCTATTTAAAGAGGCAGCGGACTTCTTATCCCGAGGAAGATAGGAATAAATATTATTAACTACTGCGGGTATCCATATTAGTCTTAATAAGGGCAGGAATATAGGGTTATACTAGTTGATTTGAGAAAGTGACTCTAAATAATTATGTTTTATATTCCCGGTAGGCTCCCTATCTAATTTATATATACCCGTCTTGGGCAGGTTTAATTCGAGTTTAATTAAGGGAACTTGTTCTAGAATCTATTATAATAATATAGTATAGTATTCTGCTTTGCCCTTCTAGCTTTAGTATTTCCTTATCTCTTATATAAACTCTATAATGTGGACTATTTATCTCTTGAGTATTAAGAGTAACTATTCCGCTTTATTAAGTTCTGCCTTGGCTATAGCTAGCCTTTAAAGCCAAATATCTCGGCTCGGGGTTTTCAAGCCTTAAAGTCCTCTAGTTATAAAATAAATATAATTCTTCTTAAAGCTTATATCTTTCTCGGTTATAAATCTCTTATTATCCTCTCAAATACGTTCTAATATAGATTATATTATACAGATAGAATTCTCTGTTTTAAAAGCGTCTAATATATTCAAATTAACAAGCTTTTTCCAGATATTATTATATTATTACTAGTTATATTTAACTAAATAAATATAAATATTACATATCCTATACTTATAGTTTAGGTACTCGATTCATATTATTAGCCTATCTTACTAATTTGGATCCTTATAAAGCTAAAATAGTCGTATGAAATCATATCTTACTAGATAGTTCTTTATACCGGTAATATACTCGGCAAACCGACTATACTCCCTTATATATTACTAGTAATTCCGGAAATCTCGCTATCTCTCTAACTATTTTCCAAATACCCTCTATTTGTCTAGATAATCTTACTAGAAAGAGAGGATCTCCCGGTACTAACCCTGGTTACTAATAATAGCCTTAAGAAAGCTAATGGGATATAATAGCTAGCTACTATTACTAATAAGAGTATTATAGTATTTAGTCTTAAGTTATATATTAATAAACTATTATATCTCAGATATATTATCTATTAATAGATTGTGTTTTAAAAGACGACCGAGAGTATATAAGTAAAGTCCGGAAGATTTTTCTCCTTAAAGTTTAATAGATACTATTTACTACTTTTATAAAGTATAAATTAGTTATATTAGTATATGGAAATTATACGGAGTATTACGAATTTATTTATTGCAATAAGTTACTATATTATTACTACTATTAATAGACTTAGGAAGGTATATTTTCAGGATAGTAATTATAAAGAAAGCTAGTTAATAGTTTTCGAGAAATAGGAAAGCTGTAATTACAAATATAATAGCTAATTTTCCTATACTAGTAGCCTCTAAAATTGTATTATTAATCCTAATAGGGTATATCTATAATACTTTATATTTGGGGTAATAGTTCCAAGATATAGAAGATTTACTTTATCTCAAGAGATAGTATTTTAGTAAATTCTAAGAGTTCTATTAGCTAGATTTCCCTATTAGTATAGAAATTTCCGGAAAATGTTTTGGAACTATTATACTAAGGGAAAAGTATAAACTTAATTAGTTTCCTCTATTATACCGAGTTATTATAGCTATTTAAACTAGTGTAACTATACGGGCTAGTATAAATAGAAGACTAGAAATACGGAGTTTACGAAATAAGTTATATTTTTATATATAGTAGTAATATAGAATTAATTAGTAGTAGTTTATAATATCTGACTTGAGCCGTTTTTGCAAAATATAAAGCTAGTATTAAGTAAATCTTATCTATTCTAATTAATCTAGACTAGTAATTAATTCCTAAAGTTTTTTAGATAATATTAGTATAATTTGAGCCCTGTATTACTTTTTTATATGGTTAGAGCCGTATTTAGCCAAATTGGGTATAGTTTATATAACTAATTCCTATAGAAAATAGCTCTAGTTATAAT